TAATTGAATTATTATCATGAATCATCCCACCTAACAACCCCTTTGTGCAAAAGAAGGTACCTGAAATGGAAAGATGGGAAGAAACCCAATAGGGAAGAGTCGCCGTGTTGCGTACCCAATTCTCAACCCTGAAGTTTAGCGTAGAGGTAACCCTCCAGGGCCATATTCGTGAGCTTTCAAGCCACCAGATAATGATATTGATAATGAATTATGATTCCCGTATCGATAACCCTCATAAAAGAAAGTCAAATACCTGACGACTGAGTGGAGGAATGGAATCAGCGACATCTAGTGCACCACGAGAGGAAAGCAAATTAGTAGAGTTTGAACACTGTACCCTGAAATTAGACAAACTTGAGAAACTAGCGCCGAATCTCAGACTGCTCATATAAACTCGGCAGAGCCTGTTACGTAGACGAAGCGCCACAGAAACCAAACACGTCAGTGAAAAACTCACATCGCATGGACCCACATATCCTCCAGAACATTATCTATCATCAGCAGTAGTCCCGAAAAGTTTTCGTTGACATATCGAGGGAACACTCCTGGCAGGGACTAAAAAAGAGCACCATAATGAAGTATTCAAGACAAGCGCTCTCAGTAAATGGTCTACCTTGTGAATTCTTCCCTCCTTCAAAACCAGTTGCACTAAGGAGTCAGTAAACATGGATGCCGGACATGGAAGCATGTCAGCGAAGATCGGCTTAGAACTGAAAGCAAAACATCAGGAAAGGTTTCCAAGATCTGATGCCATAAAGTGAACGTCTTCTTGTTCGCTGAGGGGAGGGAAACCTATCTGGCCAGTAAAAGCTTTGTGATTGATGTTGATTTATCCCATTTCGCGTGCACCAACGCCATATAGCACCAACTTGTGGGCGCCCCAAAACTATTCCTGATGTTGATTGGAGGTGCATATCCCCATTTGATCCCCCACTAAACGGAAAATTCCAGGGGAATTTTGGAAGGACGTGCCTTGATAAAGGTTTCAGAACTCTAGTGTGAAAAAACTGTATTTCTCACTGAAAATAGTGATTATTACCTGTGAATCGCCAGATTGCCTTGAATTTTTCTCGTCCCTAACGTTGAGAAGCTATGACAAATAACAACGTAGTGTCCCGGGCGTAGGAAAACGTCGCCTGGAAGGAGAGCTCAATTCGGCTGAGACTCGACAACTGTTGTTTGAGCCAAAAAATGACATTTTCATAGTTAGAAAACTAAGTCTCCAGAAAAAAGACATTTTGAGAGCGTAAAACATAGCGCAGTTCGGCGACGGGGGGGGGGGGGTGTGGGGGAGGGGGCACTTTCATAGCTTCACTATTCCGGTTTGCAAGTCTCACTAGTGAAACCTCTGAACTCTTATCAAGCTGAAACAACAAGCTCGCTTCATCATAATAAAACCTGTCAGCCCTTGTAAGCTTGTGATAGCGCTCTAGATGGCTCGACACGTCAATGAGAAATAGCAAAAGTGCAAAATGCCCCCCCCTCTCCCCGTCGCCGAACTACCCTCAACAGTGTGATCTACCTGTGCTAACAAAAGGCTCCAATTTACGAGCAGACCGATAAGCAAGCTCTCCAATAGTGCCAGCCGGAGACACCACATGTAAGCACACGAGTATATCTACCTGAAACCCAAACAGACAAATTCTAGAGCCCTTACCCGACGACAGGCTCGAATGTATAAAAAAGATTTACCAGATCTTGCGCCCTGCGAGCTCCAGTTTGAAACAACGTGAAACAAACTTCAGTTGGCTCTTCAATCAGCATACGAACGGCTCTGTAGACATTTTTCATGAGTGGAGCAGGGACATGAGAAAAGCAAAGTGAAAATGGACACACCTGTCGGAGTCAACGAAATCCCCACCAAACTGCATCGGAATGCGCAGCTCTCTCCAGCCTTGATACCATCTTATCTTCGCAATATCGACTAAAGCATCAATTTAAAATTAAACAAATAAGATACTTTCTAGGGAACAAGACATACTTGCATCAAAATGGCTGAGAAAATCGTCATAGCTTATCCAGAAAGTTCCTGTTGAAGGCTCTCCTGACAGCAACTTCTGCTTCAATTCTGAAAAATTCGGCCCTGAAGCTATGTATCGCGTTATTCCATTAAATCCCCATAGTTTTCCGGAACCTTTTCTGAGAAGTTTTAGGCAAGCCAAACCACAAACGGACTATTTTGGACTCATACCTTTGGGCCAACCTGACCATTTATTACTCCATTTTCCATTCCACACAAACGAGCCCCATGGATTTCGAAGTCGAAGCAGCCTGAAATATGAATGAGGCTTTGTTCCGCTTGACTGCGCTCAGTGTCTACTATATCCACTGTAGCTGCCATTCAAGCTGAGTAATCTCCTCGGGAAATGGAACCACACACGGAACTGTTTTATCAAACACGACCAAATCCAAATCAATCGACTTGGCGCAAAGCCAACTTGCCTGTGTTCTCCTTCTTGTACAACATCCAGAATAGAATAAGCATGTCGGGCTAGCAAACCATTTCTTTCAAAGGCTCTAGGATCTACATGTCGTTTCCCTGCACCACAACTGCAGCCCATTATGAAACCGGCTTCTCTGAAAAATACACAGAAGAAAATAACTTATACAATACTGTCAACTTATTTTCTCAGTAATTCACGTATGTCACAGCTTGAAGACAGTGAGCGTCGTGGCCCAGTGGGGCCTCTAGGCTGACGTCGCAGCTGGGAGAGCGTTAGACCACGCGGCCCCTCGCTTGTGGGTGTGGTCCAATTCATTTTCATCGGTTACATGGAAGATTTTTAGTTGAAGCGCGATGACAGCTAGATGCCGTTATCATGGAAGATTTTTAGTTGAAGCGCGATGACAGCTAGATGCCGTGTGGGTCTCCACTCACAAGCAAAAGCGACACAGGGCAAGCCGTACGCATAACTATGGCCAAACGCGCTATTTGTCTGCGTCCTTTTACGTTTATTCGCTACTTTAGTGCGTATTTTTGGCAGCTAGTCAAGCTGCAATTCGGCGACGGGGAGAGGGGGCATTTCGCACTTTCGCTGCTTTCCATCGACTCGTCGACCCATCTAAACGAGCCACTCAGAAACTTATAGAAGTTGACTGGTCTTACCATGTTGGCTCGACGAGCTTGCTCCAGCTTAAGAGGAGTTCACAGTTTTCACCGGAATGAACTTGTAAACGGGAACTAGTGAAGCAGCGAAGGTCCAAAATGCCCCGCCCTTCCCCGTCGCCGAACTACACCGCTTGCCAAAAGTTCGTCGCAAAGCTTGGTACCGACGCAAATGCAGCACGCTGCGGATAGCGGATAGAGTTCGACGCGGCACCCAGCTATCACAACCCTTCAGCCTCATTTTCCAAGCACTTTCCGCGGCATCGTTCACCTAGCAAAGACCTACATAGCAGGTGAGCAGAGCCTACATTCAAGCAGAATCCTGCCTTCTAGCCACCGCTTACACTAATTTCAATTGAAGAATACAAGTCACACCCACCTTGCACTCAAGATTCTCGCCCATCTAACATCCTTGTCCGTATCGTCTTCCAGCGAAACCATTTCGACCGGTGCACCTTCAGCGTAGTCATTGGTTAACAAGAAGTGGAGCAATTTCCGAAAAAAAAGTAAAATTCCTCTTACCTGTCAGAGTAGCCAGGCCTTCGATGGTTCTACCAGCGCGTAATCGAGCGTAACTACCAAGCTGTTTTGCCAACGCCTTCTCGATTAGTGGTACCCAAAGCTGCAAATCGATTAACATTAGCTCAAACTGACCGAAGTACCCATCGACGAAAAGGAAAGAAATCTTCGAAAAGATAAGAGGAACTGGACAAGACTCAATACCTGGTTTTTCCTTCCATCAGCAAAGGCTATTGATTTCGTTTCAACTCTACAAGGGAAGAAATCATCTACCAGAACTATCTTCCACTGCCCATCGATGCAAAGTCTGAATGCCACTAATGATTGAAGCTTTCAGACCAAAAAAACTTATCGAGCTGTAACAAGAAAAGGGTACAGTTCGGCTTGGTGGGGCATAGCGAAGCCATTTCAGGCCACCCTGTGACGACCCGCAAATTCCTGAAACCAAAGCGGCCTCTTAATGCCATACCGTAACTTCACACGAGTTTACAGGTCTTACTAAAGTAAAACCTGCTAACTGACATAAACTAGCAAAGGAGACTACCAAACATGCAAAATGCCCCTCCTAAGCCGAACAACGCCCAAGGAAAGTTCAATAGCCCTCCGAAACCAATCATTCAGGAACTGTCAAAAAGTGAAGCACCGTTTTTTTCTTGTAAAGTTTTGACAGACGATCAAATCAATGCGAAATAGTCGGCGAACCTCACTTGATACACACCAAAATGAGAATATTCTTTCGTTAGTAGAATATGCTCCAAAACATCCGGCCTTTCCGCTATTAATGCCATCGCAGAGAGCAACCAACAGTCACCCAAACAGCCTAAAGCAACAACTGTGAAGCACATAATACCGAAATTATAGGCAAAAATACGAAATCTCAAGAGTGCTCCCCTATCACGCAATACATTTCCTCTCATCGTGCTGATACCCCGGACAAACACGAGCGGCACCTCTACTGTCCACGTGGTCCAAAAGCCAGGAGTTTAGAAAGCCAGGAGAAATATGATTTGTCTAGTTAAGAACGCCGAGCCAAATCCACCCAGCCTGGCACGCCCAGCTTCCAAAGACTACTTTAACCTTGCCATTTTCCAAATAGTGGGAAATGAGAAAAGC